ACAATATTAAATCCTCCGTTTTAAACCTTCGATTTAAGGCAATAAGGTGGATTTCCGATCGGAATATCGGCAAATACTAGTTGAAAGCAAATGAGCTAATGATTTCCAATTGCAGTAATTCCTAAAGTGCACTTTATGTCAATCAGTGTAGAATCTTTATAGCGTGATGGCGATGGGAACTTGAGTCGTATTGTTTCAAGGGAGCGTTCGGTCACGCCACTCTGTATATTTATATGGGTGGCTTTCTCGTTTCTAAAAGATATTCAATAGGTGTTGATTGCGGTATGAATATCAGTTTTATTACGACACGTTAGAGTTCTCGTTTAATTGGCAAGTACGAGATGTTTCGGCGGACATTAGAGTCAACAACTGATATTATTTATATCTGCTAGATGCCATGCTGGGCGTTTAGGGTCATTTACTTTGCATCACTCGGGGTCTTTATTTTCAGTGGCTATGGAATGTTGCATTGAGTCATTCCTTTGTATTTTAATTCTTCAATATTCAAAGGTTCCTATGTCACATGTCATTTTACACAGATTCAGGTTAATTATATGTTGGAATGTTTCGTATTTGTGAGACAGGCTCGGTATTGTTGTTTAAATATTGGATGTAGGTTTGGTATAGCCTGTATTTTTCTGAACTACACTCTTCTAGGGAACCCATTTGTGACACATGGGTCAAAACCATAAAGTTTGCGTTGCGCAATTTATGTGTCGTTGCCCTCGTAAAGATAATGTAGTAAGATTTAGATAAGATTGCCGTTGGTCCGGAAAGACGCGAGAGACTGCAAGTGAATTCCTAGAGCATGTACAATGTTGAAAACTCCATCATTGTTAACGTTTCTGTAGTAATGTAAATGTGCTAAGAGTAAATCAAAGCTTAACTGTAAAAGCTGCGTGGAATGCCAGCGTCGAGCAGGTTCACAATAAAACAAACGTCGAAAATGAGAGATTGAATAATAAAAAGCTCTTAAATACGTTATTTTGATTTACGTCGCGTCGGTCCCAAGGCGCGGAATGGTAGGTATTACACTCGGTATGCAGGTGCATGCAGCGATTGTTTTGACATTTCTTGCGCAAACGCACGTTAACGACTTCTGGGGAACATTTGAACACACCCACGACGCGCATGTTTTCTCTTAAGATCTTTTGTTGAGGCAAAATACGCTGCAGACAGATATCTATCATTGTGATTCGAGCCTTGAGTATTTTACGTACGCCTTTCAACTGCTTTCCCGTTTTTAAGTAATGTCAAATATTTAATACAAACAATTTGATCACCACGTTTGTCTCGCAGCTCGTTACGATCTTGGCATACTTATGTCCTCACAGGTTTCACTCCATTACGGGTTCTTTAGAATTGGCTTTTTTATAAAATTATCAATATATAAATATTATAACATAAGTCGTGCGCCTGGTGAGCGACACGCCTATAACAGTTGTAGTGCCAAGCGACTCAAATTTCTGAGGGGCAATGTCGCTGCATTCGTCACCCTGAAACGTTACGTTGACACGTCCAATGTGTCTATAGTTTCACCTGCATCCATCAAAATTGGAGCACTGTAATGCTCACATTACTGCTTCGCGACAGACAGTACAGGCAGGCAGTACTTCCCTGGACTAACTTTTTCACAAAGAGAGATGCCGCGTCCTCCTCATAACCCATTGACTTACAAATAAATGGACGACGGGTCTAATACAAAAACCATGAAAAAAATGTCCCAAGTCAACCTATTCGAAATTTAAATTGTTATGTCATCGCAGTATCGCGCTGTCCGTAGAACAAATGAAGACTAAAGCGGAGTGTCGCGCTCTGTATACGATTTTAGCGCCTTACAAGTGCGGACACTTTTTAGCGCGGACCCGACGTCCATATAATTGTAAGTCAATGTCATAACCTCTAATTTTTTTTGCTTTTTGAACGTAATGTAAATGCCACAGTTCTCTTTACTTACGTCTTCTGATTTCACCTCAATGTGTTACATAATATTTTAAATGAAAATACAATTTGTATTCATACAGAATTTTGGAAAATGTCACTCATGTCAACGTTGCCTCGTCAACCGTTCGCGCCAAAATGAACGTCCAATCAAATATTTGGATTTGACCTCATTATTCTCTGAGCATTACTGGCGTTCGAAATTCAAAACGATCATCCGCGTGTTTTCTACAGAACAGCAACTAATAGTATAAATTTTTAAATTCCATTTTAAAGTCCTTGTTATTTTTTTTTTAATGACTAAGAATTAGTAATTTGATTCCAAATTCAATCTAAAGTGTTTTCATAATAGAAAGCAGAAAAAATAAACAATAACAACCACTACAAAATCCAGCGCTAATATCATACGTAACCTTTCTATAATTCAGAAAATAACGTTCAACTGTTCAAAATTACCCACTTGATAGGAATGACAGTCTTATTATCTTGCCGAAACTGGTAATCGAGGATAAAATATAGGTTAGGCTGGGTCTCAGGACCCGAGACATAATTGCAGGCGAGCTATTTTACCTGCGTGGCCAGGCTTGTTTGTTTTTAGTTGTTTTTTTTCCATCTTCTTGTTTTAAGGCCTGGGGTAACGCAGTTGCCGATTAGTGTTGCCCGATTGAATATCGTGTTTTAGATTTTTAGGTCTTCTTTTATGATATTTAAATCCTTAACGCCCTAGTTTGGGTTTTATTGTTTATGATTTATAGTCATCGTAAATTTTTGTTACAGTTTTCATTCTATTTGGTGGCGATCACAAGGTTTTATTAAATTTAGGAAATTTTGTTACATGTATCGCTCACGAAACCTAATATTGACGTAACTCAAAAACGTGGAAATTAGAAAAAACTATTTGCAAATTAAAAAAACTAAATGAAGCCAATATACGATATGTATATCCTCGTTTATAAATGGATAATTAAGTATAAAATAAATATAATCACATTATTCGCAATAAGATCCATTCAGTACTTTTTTCTTGTTCAAATTGAAATAAAAGTTTTGTAATTGTTAACACACTTCTTTATTCTTCTGCGCACTCTTGCAAATGTGTACAAATTACCTTTATCTTTCTTAGATCATATATTAATCTAAAGATTCAGCGCGCTGTCAGATCACCCGATAAGAATCTCTGCCCAATATGGCCAGTATTGCCATCACGAGAACCCGAATCTCTCTATACTCCTTTTTCTTTACAAAAATCATTACATTCGGCCATCCGACAACGTGCAGACTCCGGCACACGTTTCAAAAAGCCAACAGACTTACGAACGACAATATTTTAAGGTACTATATCAATAAACCCAGGCGTACAGTACAAAAGAGTCAGCAGACTTATAATTTTCCATTTAAAAGTACTAAATTAAACAAACCTGGAGCAAGGTACAAAAGAGCCAGCGGGCTTACAGATAACAACCATTTAAAAACTATATAAACCAACCCTGGCGCACAGTACAAGAGGTCAGAATACTTAAAATTAACAACATTTTAAAAGTACTAAATGACAAAAGAGCCAGCGGACTTATAGATAACAACAATTTAAAAATACTATATGAATCGTTACATTTGGCCAAAATGTTATTTTAACCTTATATCGTTGTTATACTGCGAAAACCGATTATCTGGAATTTTCACACAAAATGACTTAATAACACGCGACAAAATTGCTTATGTAAATGCAAACATCTTTCAAATTTAGGTAAAACATTAAATGTGGAGTAATCTGTTAAAAATTAACGTGGGATGACCATGATATGATGGATAAGAAATATTCGTCGTTGAAATTTCAATTGCATTTATTTCAAAGTCGATATGTTGTGAACTAATTGTTTTTCCCAGTATAATGGCGATATATGCTATATAATCATCATTAAATAATTAGTATTATTAACATAGTAATAATTACATAAATCACTTCGTATTAATGATAAAAAAACAGTACTTTTATGGTACCTACTCTGTGTACATAAAAAAAATCTACTCATTGGTTTATATGATCTATGTAATTTCTAGATTAACACTATTTGAAATATAATAATAATTATTATTTTTGTAATCACGAGAACCTCACGTAACTTACATAAATGTATACAATCAATTAGCGTTAGAATCGCTATAAGGACTATCAGTACTACTATAACTTCCATGTACTTCTAATGCTCTTATATTTATCCGTGGTCGTATTCTATCAGCTGCAATCACAGAGTTATATAATTTGCCTTTTTCGTCAAAACCTGGTACATCGGTAACTCTATATCGGTCATTACCTAAGGCGTCCACAATTTTATACGGGCCAACAAACTTAGACAAAAGCTCAGTACTTTGCCCGTTATTGTCATAATTGTTTCGACTAATCTTTACTAAATCACCTACTTCATACTTAGTAGCTGGTGCTCTATTCAAGTCGTGTCTTTGCTTTTGTTTAGTTTGCTCCCGTTTTGTAATAAAACTAACATCTTGTCTTATAGCTTGTAAATCATTATCCACAATACTATCTTCGACGGCCAGTTTATTTATTAAATCATCACGCATTCTCAAGCCGAATAACGCCTCTGTTGCAGTTTTCTCAGTGGTGGTATTAACGGTGTTATTAAGCCCCACTGAATTTTTCCTAGCAGTTATCCCAGTCGCGTTCATGGCCAGAAGTATTCTGACTAGCTAAAAAATGAATAATTGTTTGATTGAACCTTTTGGCTTGGCCGTTTGCTCTGGGACAAGCGACTGCATTCAGTATGTGTTTTATACCATGCTGGTTACAAAACGCTTTGAAAGCGGTTGATGTAAAGGAAGTACCGCGGTCAGGAACAATTCTAGCTGGCAAACCAAAGTCATAATTTTTTTTGGGAACGTTAATTGTGGTTTTGGTCTTGGTGTCTTTAACAGCCCTAACAAACACATATTTCGTGAAACTGGCGTAACTGGAAGTCGATTCTTAGTAGATTTTTTTTTCAAAAAATTTTTTTTACAGCAGTTTTAAAGCTCAATATTAAAGAAAGTCGTTATTTTTGTTACAGAAACCCCTCCTCCACCATACAGCCGGTTCGCAATGGATGACGTCAAGCCTAGAGGTGAGATTTAATTTTTAATTATTCATTCATATTTTTAATTGTTCTTGAATAGTACCAAATGACAGTTTTCGATAACACAGCTGCCGTGTATTCCATTCGTTTGCCGTGTTAGGAAAGAGGAAGTAAAGTAGACATGTGCGGTATATCGATGATGGAAGAACTCGGATGCGGAACTAAAATATCATTTATTAGCAGTAGAGCTGTTTATGAATGAGTTCGACCAAGGAAATACTGCCACCTTACATATTATTTCTGGCGCTAGATTCAGATTCAGATTCATTTATTTCTCAAATATAACATTACAGTATAAATTGCACTACATGTCAAAGTATAAGAAATTATATTGAGATCGTCAGACAAAAAGGAAAATTATAAGAAAAGCACACAATAATTAGAAAATTAACAATTCATTATATAATATTGTTGTCATTAAATTATATATCAAATATCATTCTCCATCAAGGATCGTCATAAGTTGATAACAATTATACAAGAGTATGTTAATGCGGTAAACATTAGAATAAAATACTGAATTCGTTACAATTTAAAGTCCATAAATTCTTTTACGGAGTATATAGGATTTTTCAAGAAAAGGTCTTTCGTCAGACGGTTCAAGTCTGAGAGTAGCGGCTAAACGCTCATAGTAATTAGTAAGTAGGTCCGATGACACGCGGGTTTTTCTCTGCAAGTGCCATGCGTCGAGGGACTGTTCTCAAATGACCGTTACGGCGAAGTGGGATGCCAGAAACATTTACAGTACCAAATGAAGACAGATTATTTCTAACATATATTATAATTTCGTATAAGTAGAGTGAGTAGTGCGTCATTATGCGTTGCGCTACAAAGACATTTCTGCAGGAATGTCTGTGTTTTACCCCAACCAATACGCGTACGGCACGTTTTTGCATTAGCATGACTCTATTGGCATCCGTGGATTTACCCCATATGAGTGAACCGTACAACATCAGCGAGTGGAAAAATGCAAAATAGCTGCATTACTGCGTTCCGGTGCAAATGAGAGCATTACTGCGTTCCGGTTTTGAAGAGTAAGGGTTCTGGTGCAATTACAGGCAGCTGGGATTGGAAAATTAAAAAAAGTACTGAATGAAACCGAACCGAATATCGAACTGATATTACAATAGTGTTGCAACTAGAAATATGTCAAATTCAGAATTATGCCATTTCTGTACGTAAAATTTGATTCTGTAGAATATTGTAAGAAACAATTAAAAGGTCTCTACTTAACTTAGAATGAGACAAACGTTTTGTGAGCTAGTCATGAAATTATGTTTTTTACTTTGACATAGTATTACATTTGTCAATTAGGAAATTGTTTAGATGTCTGTAATAAACTTTAACCTATACATACATTTTAATAATCTTTCACGGGAAGTGAGTACTTAGCTTTTTATCTATTCTGAATAAGTACACTTTTTGAGTTAGTACATTATTGTATTTACAGTGCGATTATGTTCTCGTTTAAAAATGGATAATGAAGTATTATGTATAAATAATAATTATAACAAATGTTTATTACGGACAACAGGGATTCATGAAGTAGGTATTAGTAACAAAAATAGCTTATAATTAGGTTAGAGCTTAAAATCTACTACGGATTTTCTGGTTGTTATTAAATGCAATACATTACGGTGTAAATGGCAAGGCGTCAAGACTTGTCTCGTCATATCTCAATGGTAGAATTCAGAAAGTAGACATAAATGGAGCGACTTCTTTGGGTTCTCCGGTAAAAATGGTTGTTCCGCAGGGCTCAATACTTGGACCTTTCTTATTTCTGATTTATATTAATGATCTGCTATTCTTTGTTAAGGACCATTGCGAAATAGTGTTGTTTGCTGATGACACATCCTTGATTTTTAAAACAGACAGACATGACATTAACTATGACCATATTAATGTTACCCTCTCTAAGGTAGTTTATTGGTTTAATGCTAACAATTTATTGCTTAATGCCAAGAAGACGAAATGTGTTAAATTTGAATTACCTAACGTAAAATCGACTACTCCAAGCATAGAAAGAAACGTAGAAAAGTTAGACCTTGTTAATAAAGCAGTCTTCTTGGGAGTGACCTTAGATAGTAAACTTCAATGGTTTCCACATATATCTTCCCTGCCCAGCAGATTAAGCTCCGCTGCGTACACAGTCCGCAGAATACGTGAGCTTACCGATGTTAGTACTGCTAGACTAGTTTACTTTAGTTACTTCCATAGTATAATGTCCTACGGGATTCTCATGTGGGGTAAAGCGGCAGATGTTCAAACCATATTTGTATTGCAAAATCGAGCGATTCGTTCTGTGTACCCTCTAGGCTCTCGGGTTTCTCTCAGAGAATAGTTTAAGGAGACGGGTATCATGACTGTGGCATCACAGTACATTTACTCAAATATTTTATATACCCGTAAAAATATACATAATTTCAATAAGAAAGAAGATATCCATAATATTAACCTTAGAGCTAAGTCCAAACTCATGGTACCACGATTTCGTTTAACCAAGGTAAACAACTCTTTTATGGGGAACTGTATACGTTTTTACAATAAGATTCCGGAGCATTATCATTTCCTAAGTTTAAAAACTACATTAAAAATATTTTGATCGAAAAATCATATTACAAAATTGAAGACTACGTGTTAGATAAAGATGTATGGAAAGACGACATGGCTCCAGAATCCACACAAATTTGATTCAAAGTGTATTCCATAGCATTTAAGTTTATTTGAAAAGAGCAATCCCTAGAGTCTCTTGCTCGTTCTTCTCAGGGCGGTCAGCGTAGTGAACGAGCAGTAGCTTAAATGTGACGTTTTCAAGTGTAAATTTATTTTACCTATGGAATCACGGAGCATTTACTACTACCCGTAATAGTCTTCAGTAGGCCGTTGCTGCTGCCACGTATTCTGCTTAATAAAGACGCCGACTTCTGCTGTAAGAGCGCCATGAAACTGTTGACGCGAGCTTCAGTAAATATGATAGCCGCATTGCAGAACCGTGGCATCGTCTTGAAGGCGTTATTATATTGCGCATGCAGGGCTCTGAGCGAGGTTGGCCCTGTGGCCCAGCTATAGCCATAATTAGAAATAAACACATTATTACCAATTGAAATTTCTTTTTAAATTTTCAAATTGTGTTTTCTCAATTTCACAATTTTGAGTTATGACAGAATTTGATTTCATGTGCGTTATGTCTCAGATCTTTGCGATTTGAATCTGCGTGTCGCTTACCACTTGTTCGTCCAGTCATTTGGTGTCATAAAGAAAAAAAACTAAATTGCGAGTTTAAAATGTTTATTATCGCTTTCATTGATGCGTTCGCAGCTTGCCGCCTTTATAGCACTAAAACACACGAAACATCGTTTATCATTAGCACAATCCATCATTCAATTCAGCCACCCGAATTCAATCTACGCCGCCAATTGACCAATTGCTTTGCTGGCAGCGAATCATTGTTACGCGCAAAACTTATCACACAATGGTTATTAGATCAATTTAGGTCTTTATATAGTATTTGTCTGCGCATTGCACTATTATTGCTTTCCTTGTTGTAACTAACGCTAAAATTTTGGTAAATTTCGACATATTGGCACCTAATCTCCTTTTTTCTTTGAAAAATGTCAATTACCCCCCTTTTTTTAATAATAGACACACGCTTGGCTTCAATCTCATTTGATGTTAAGTACGCAATTGCCTAATAAATGCCTGTCCAGTATAGCCCCAAATTGTACATTTCGGGAAACACAGATAGAGCATTCCATTCCTTTGCCGTACGCATCGGAAAGTAGGAAGCAAAGCGCTTAGTGCGAATCGGCGGTAGATCAACGACGCAAGGATGGAGTGTTCCGGATCTTCTAGTCGACCGAAGGAGGAACCAAATTGAAAAGTTCCAGCGCACACTCCCCGAAATGTATCCGATAGATAATTGTAACTTTTTCATTGAAAAAAAAAAAAACCGACTTCAAAAGTTTGGTTATTATCATAGACTTGCAAATAAATGGACGACGGGTCTAATACAAAAACCACGAAAAAAATGTCCCAAGTCAACCTATTCGAAATTTAAATTGTAATGTCATCGCAGTATCGCGCTGTCAGTAGAATAAATGAAGACTAAAGCGGAGTGTCGTGCTCTGTATACGATTTTAGCGCCTTACAAGTGCGGACACTTCTTAGCGCGGACCCGACGTCCATATAATTGTAAGTCAATGGTTATTATATATGATTTATGATTTCCATGGGATCCTCTCATCAGATTCTGAGTTCTTGGTGACAACGGGGCTGTTACGGACTCCTTTGTATATTTTACATTTGCTTTTCTGATTGTCATGGCGACGGTGATTTGATTACACGTATTGTGGCAAGTGAAAATTCAACTTTTATTTGCACAAGTTAAATTAGTAATTTGTAATAGCCACGAACCAGAACAGCATCAGGGACCACCTCGAGAGTATACCATTTCAAACAAAAGGAGAATTTTCAAAATCAGTCCACAATTGATCGAGAAATTGGTGAATACACGGCCATGAATATAAAATTTGAGGATTTCCTTCGATTTTCATGGGATCCCCTCATCAGATTCTGACTTGGTGACAATGGGACCACCACGAAAGTGCCGCCCGTTCAAACAAAAAAGAATTTTCAAAATCGGTCCATAATTGATGGAGTAATTTGAAAACATATATAAAACATACATACAGCCGAATGTATAACTTCCTCCTTTTTTAAGTCAGTTAAAAACCGACAACAACAACGCTGATTTTACTTAACAATAAAACTGAAAGTAAATAAGATATATGTATATATATATATATATAAAACGCTTATAAGGGGTTGTAGATCTTGTTTCTCTAGTTCCAGATAACTCAATATCGCTAAAATGTCGATTAGGTTAGTGATTTATGAGAAGCGCAAATTAGGTCTATAACGCTACTGGTCAAACCGATTTTCAATTATTATTAAAGGATAGCCGTAATTGCTGCGTAGGCGGGATGGCG